GTTCTCTAAAAAAGCAGCAAGCATACTTATCTGCTGAGCAATCTCTCCAACCACCCCTATCCCTAAATTTACTGTCAGGATTTGAAAGGGAGTGTTACTGGGCATGGTGGCTCATGCCTGTAGCCCCAGCACTTGGGAGATGATAGGCGCAGGAGAATCAGTTCAAAGCAAGCCTTCACTAAATGTGACTGTATCTCAAAGCAAAACAGGAGAGAGGGAGTTGGAGGGGCAAGAAATGGGGTTGGGGAAGGAGATGGGAATGTGGCTGGGTGGTACATGCCTGTCTCAAAAACACAGAAGGTGGAAGAAAGGAAGCAGGGAAGGAAGGCTGGAGGAAAGGTTTGGGTTTGTTTTTTTTTTGTTGTTTGTTTGTTTGTTTGTTTGGTTGGTTTGGTTTGGTTTTTGAGATAGCATCTCTACCATTTAGTTCTGGCTAGTCTGAGACTACATAGACTAGACCAGCTTCCAACTCAGAGATCCACCCACCTTTACCCTATAAGTGCTGTGATCAAAGGTGTATGTCCCCATATCTGGCTGAAAAGGCATGATTCTGAGACTTCCTCTATAAAAATTTCTCCAGCAGTGATATGAGCCTAGAGTCACATCTACTTGGTTGGATGAGTGGATACCTTGAGCCAGAATTCAAGGCCAACCTGGGCACCAGGTTGTTTCAGGGGGGTGGAGGTGGAGTAAAAGGGAAGGAGGAAAGGAGAAAGGGAAGGGGGAGGAGGAAGAGAGAAAGAGAAAAAGCAGAGGGGAGGGCAGGAAAGGGAAAAGAGAGACAGAGCTGGGGACATAGCTCAGCTCTCAGAGCCTGCTTAGTCTAGTCCCAGACTCTGGATTCAGTCCCAACACTGTATAGACAGGGTGTGGTGGTGTGCATCTACAATCCTAGCACTTGGGAAGTAGAGGCATGAGGACAGAAAACTTCAAGGCCAGCCCAGGCTACAGCGTGAGCTCAAAGCTAGCTTGGGTGACTTAGTGAGACCTTGTCTCAAAATAGAGTGTGAGAGAAAGGGGTTTTGTGTGTGTGTTAGAGATGTAGCTCAGTGGTAGCACAGACAGACAGACACACACACACACACACACACACACACACACACACACACACACACTCATTTAAGCAAAACTGCACCCAGGGATCTAGAAAGATGGCTGAGTAGTTAGCTCTTGCTGCTCTTCTAGAGGACCAAAAGTTCAATTCCCACCTCACAAGTGCCTGTTAACTCCATCTCCAGGGCATCCAACACCCTCTTCTGGCCTCTGTGGATACCCATACACACCCAACTTTCACTCATATAGACACACACACACACACACACACACACACACACACACACACACACACACAAATAAAAGTCGTAATAAATCTTTTAAAAACTGCATTCAGTTTACATCCATTTCAACTTAGTATTTACAAGGAAACATATCCACAGGCAATACTGTGCTTCATGAAAGGTGAGATGTGAGGCGTTTTCTCTTCCATAATGGACTGCACCCTTTCAAATGGTAAGCCAAAGTAAACTCTTCAGGCAATTTCCCATCTGTAGATGCAGAAGGGAACCAACATGTAGTATGCCAAGTGCATTACCCTTACAGCTAGCTGTGCCCCTCAGATGAGTGCTGCACCCACTCAGCACCAGCTGCAACTCCAACATCTGTGGCTGGCTCATTTGAAATGCACCTGGCAAGCCCAGGTGTCAACCAATGAGTAGGGCACATACTGCAAGTCAGATCTTGCAGCAATCCCAAGTGCACGTTACCAGGAAGAATGCAGTGAATCTTTCCCAACTTTCTGCTTTTGTGGTTTTAGAGGATGAACTCAGCGCCCAGGTACAATAGGCACACACTCTGCTCCTGAACTATGGCCCCCACCCTGACAGAACCATTTCTAAATTACCTGCAAAAGAAACCCAATTTGTTGTTTTTGTGACAGAATTTCATCGTGTATAAGCATGGTTATCCACAGTGGCGTAAACCAATACAGCTCAGGCCAGGTAGGAAACCAACTAAGAAATTGGTCCTCTGCCAAGCTAGACCATAGGCAGTGTAAAAGAGAGTACTGGGTAGATATGAATCTGGGATTGTGCTGTCTTCTCATGTTAGAACCAGTCACTCATCAGGAGACACTGTCTACTCTGACTACAGTTGTCATGCTGCTTTGACCAGGTCTTGTCTGTCAAGGCCTTGCTCACTTTGTGCTTAAACTGTTTTTGTTTTTGTTTTGGTTTTTTTCAAGACAGGGTTTCTTTGTGCACCCCTGGCTGTCCTGGAACATGCTCTTTAGACCAGGCTGGCCTTGAACTTAAGAGATTCACCTGCCTTTGCCTTCCAAATACTGAGGTCACAGGCATGTGCCACCACCACCCTGTTCATGCTTCCACTGTGATGGATGAACAGAAAGACACTTGCAGTCTTGAAAAGCTCACAGGGCCATAACCTATCATCAGCAAAACAGAAGGCCCTACATCTCATATCATAGCACCTAGCCTCAGCTGCTGTCATGGATAGTGCCATGAAGTTTTTAGGAAGTCAATCCCTTCCTACATTGACTCTCAGTGCCCTGAGCCTGCTGGGCATCCTCCTGACCTATCAGGAAGGGACTCAGAAACAAGGTAATATCATTCAGGCTAGGTGATGGTAAGGGCTGCAAATTGCAGGGTTTAGTCCAGGACAAGCAGAACAGCATCTGGGTCATTCAACTCTACACTCAGACCCTGTTGCATTGTTTATTCCATAATCAGTTACTTTGGGGGATAGATACCAAGGCATATGGACTGAAAGCAAAAAATTGTAATTTATAACAGTGGTTCTCAACTTTCCTAATGCTGCAACCCTTTAATACATTTCCTCATGTTGTCCTGACCCCCAACCATAAAATTCTTTCCATTGTTACTTCATAACTGTAATATTGCTACTGTTATGAATCATAATGTTCATATCTGATGCACAGGATATCTGATATGCAATCCCTATTGGAGAGTTGAGACCCACAGGTTAAGAACCGCTGGTTTACAACATACCCAGAGATGCACTTAGACACTCACGGAGTAATAAAACATAAACCAAAGCTGACAACACCGAGGAGTCAAGGTAATCACACACATGAGCAAAACCCAAGTGCTTATAAAACCACCTCTGCTTCTTCAGGCATTGTCTCCTGGATGAACTCTAGTATGTGGCACATGATTGTGTAGATTTCATCATTGGGCAGCTATTTCTGTGTGTGGATACACCAGTTCCCCTTTCTAAGGCATGCTCACAGCAGCAGTAGTGAGGGCTAAAGGGATGATGCCACAGAACAGTGGGCTTTGTGGAGCTGAGGTCGCAAGCCATGCCCATTTGTATGAAAAGACAGTCCTGTTTATGCCAAAAGGCTCTGGGGAGGAGTTTAGAGGAGGCTGGACATTAGAAAGCAGTTTCACCCATTCCAGGGTCCATGGAGCCTCAGCTCTATCTTCCTGCCCCGTGAAGGTAACCGATGAGCTGGACCTCCTTAGAGGTCCAAAGCCTAAGTGGGCTACCCTCTTAATTTTCTACTCTACTTATTTATTTTTAAATGTACATTGGATCAAATCAGGTCCTCATATATGCTAAGCCAGTGTTCCACTCAGTGCATAGCTGACACTCTTCATCTGCCTTTCCTCTGCTATGAGATGAGTCCAACTCAGAGCTGAATGCACAGGTCAGGTAGAAACTGACTCACCCACCAATGATCCAGCTTGCCAAGAGTTGTAGTAGCTGCTGATCTTTGGTGACTACGAAGAGCATGGCTCACTGTTACTACAACTTAAAATTAGTATAATTTTCTTTAAAATTACTTTTTAGGGGGTGACCTTGGTGGCACACATGCACACCATGGTGCCTGTGGATAATTTATGGGAGTTGGTCTCTCCTTCCACCAAGTGGGCTCCACAGGTCAAACTAAGGTTGTCAAATTCAGGTTCGTACCAATGAGCCATCTTACTGGCCCTAGAATTCAAAATTATTTTCAAAAATGTGTACAAGTAAAAGAGCCAAACTGGGGGTTGGGGATTTAGCTCAGTGGTAGAGCGCTTGCCTAGCAAGCACAAGGCCCTGAGTTCGGTCCTCAGCTCAAAAAAAAAGAAGAAGAAAGAAGAAAGAAGAAAGAAGGAAGAAGAAGGAAGAAGGAAGAAGGAAGAAGAAGGAAGAAGGAAGAAAGAAGAAGAAAGAAGAAAGAAGGAAGGAAGAAGGAAGGAAGGAAGGAAGAAGGAAGGAAGGAAGAAGGAAGGAAGGAAGGAAGAAGGAAGAAGGAAGAAGGAAGAAGGAAGAAGGAAGAAGGAAGAAGGAAGAAGGAAGAAGGAAGAAGGAAGAAGG